ATAATTTTGATTTTTCAAGCTTTATAATTGGTTGATTTGTTAATTTTTTTCATTAGCTTGTGAAAAAAATGATAATGTAGTGTCTGTCACAATCTACGTGTAGTGTCAGTCACAAAGAAAAAGTGAAATTAAAAATAAAGAAAAAAATCTTAAACAATTTTGCAATTTATTTTCATTGAATACAAATACTTTAATAAAATTATGTCTGAGAAATGATTTGCTTTCATAGTTTAATCAGAAGAAATTTGAGTTTAAAAATTTGTCCAAAAACTGGCTTCCATTCTTGTAGTGTCAGTCACACTTACTCAAATATTGTTATAATTAATAAAATTAGGTCCCTAACAATAATTTTTTGTGTTCTAAAATTTATTTGCATTTTTAGAAAAATATTGATAAAAAAATAAAATTTTTAGCTGTAAAAATATTTCTTTAATGTATCTTTTCATTTGTGAAAAATTTTCTGATGTAGTGTCTGTCACACGTGGAAATAGCCACATATAATAGTGTAAATAGAGAAAATTCGAAGTCAATATTCTATATTACAACATGGCTCTATATCTCACCATAATATTCAAATTGTATTAAATTACCGGGTTCTTGTGTAGCCTACCAGATGAATAAATTAGGTCTAATAGGGGGTCCACAATGTGGCTCTATAGGTTTCTATGTGTGTATATTTATATAATAGTGGGCTGAATAACGTTAAAATGAGGAAATTCGTGATCAATATTCTATATTGCAATATCTCCCTCCCCTTAATAGTGACTCATAATATTTAAATTAGACCACGAATTGTATTCCCTTTCCAGGGGAAATGTTTATGGGCCTAGCAGGAGGACCACAATCTGACCCTATGGGTATTAGCACGAGGGCAAGAACATTCTCACCCACGACATACCTCTGGATGTCGGAAATGTTGTCAGTGCAAACCGAGAGCAGGATACGAGGAAGTAAACGTGGGGATTTGAACCCAGGTCTCAATGGGAAATGAACTTTAAGTCAGTCATCCTATAGGCCATATCGGCTCTAGAATATTTTTAAGTTATGGTTCATTCATAACTTAAAATATTCTATATATTCTTATATGTCTACCAAAGAAGTTGCTGCGCTTTTTTGGGATTCTTCCATTTTACAATTTTGGAGAAAGCGATGTCTACAAAAAAAAATGGGCTTAATAGAATTCTTACTTTCCGGTTTTTTTTCAAACATTTTCTAGACAGGAAGCCTAACTTTTCCGACGAGAGCAGAGATTATAATGGTGATGTGTATGTCCATTTTGTTAATCACAATTTTATTATTATATTAAAAATTTCTTTTCCAGACAAGTAGAAAAACTATTTCTAATGGAATGGCTTGTGCTTTTTAACTAACGAATAATTGAGGTCTTTATTGCAGTTAAGACAACTTTGAAGGCATTAAAAGTCTACTTTAATAAAACTAGTGACATATGAGCAATTATAATTTATTAACATAAGTATATACATTAAGAGGAAATTAATAATTCACAGAACACTTAATTTCTGTCAAATAATTTCTAAAAATAATTCTTTACATTAGCGGAGGGACGTTTAAATATTTTTCTTTGCTGAATGCGGAGACAGTCTGAATGTATAGTTTGTCTAAAGTTAGAACTCCCCTAGCCATTTGTCTGGACCAGTGACGGTGAATATAGTAACGAGGTATAACTTTCAAGTAGGGGTGTGGGGTCAATGTTTAGGGCAGGTTTCGGAGTTGTGAGAGAATATCTTTTTTACGATCTATTGTGTTAGCCTTAGAGTGAAGAGACGCTACCCTTCCCGATAAGCGCTATTCTTGTTTCCATACCAGCATACGGGCTAAAACTTAGTGGAGGGGAGTTCTTACCGTACACAAACTATATTACAGTTTCTCTGAAAGGTTGGCGAAGTGATGACTATCGAGTCGTAGCTTAGACAGTCTTTTCTTCCCCTATCCCTCAGAGGTGTTGAATAACTTTCCATATGGACACAAGACTTGTCCCTCAGAATTTTCGGAGAAAAAGTGAACGCAAGTTTGTGAAGTGGAAGTAAAAAGAATACATTCTAGTCTGTTTTTATTTATTCTCATTTATAAAAACAATTTACGAATGTAATTATATTTCTTTTCAAGTAGATTCCCGACGATTTTAAACTCATCCCGATACTGGGGTCAAACCCCTACTTACACCGCCCTTGGAACACACCAGTTCAAGCAGAAAGCCTTTAAATAATTAAGTACACCAAACGAAAAAATTAAGTGATAAATTCCTTTATTTTAAAAAACATGCTAAAATATATACAACACTAAAAAGCAGAAATTTAAAAGCTATAAAAGTAGAAATACTATCGATTATAGACAACTCTGTACCATAAAACTATGTACGCAACTATTCTAAAAGCGAAGAAAAAGCCCCATAATGCAGCATAGTCTACATAGAGGCTGCCTTTAAGCATATCCATTTCTTTTAAAAAGTCCAACGGCTCTTGGAAAGGGCAAAATATTTTGTCGCAGAACAGCTCTGGTCGACCCATGGAATAAATTCCAAGTAAAACACTTTGATAACTATAACGGATGTAAGATAGGTATGACAGCCATTGAAGATAAGGTGGGATGGTTTCCAAACTTATAAAAAAGCCACTGAAGAGAAGAATTGGGATTGTGAACACTGGAGCGAGGAAGACTGCATTCTAAAAAGGAAATTAGAATCAAGCTTATGAAATCATTCAATTCTACAACACTAAATTAGCTGGAATAATTTTATTCTGTTCAGATGACACTAGATTTCGTTAACATTTAATTTAGTAGACACTGAATTTCATAAAAGAGAAGTTCTTAACTTTAAACTAGTTAGAAACAGATTTGGGGTGAAATAACTAGATGTGTTCAAAATTTAAAGTATGTTTTCATTTAAATATGTCAAAAGAAAAACTAAATTTAGATTTAAATTACACAATTTAAACTATTTAAAAAAAATTTACCAATATGTACCTTATTACCCAACTGAAAACTACATTCACTTCAGAAATAGATAGGTGCTTTATTTACGTCGCACTAGAGATGCACAATGGGCTATTGGTGACGTTCTGGGAAACATCTGAGGATGAGCCGAAGACGTGGCATCTCAATTTTGATAATCTTCAGAAAGGATAGCTCACCCGCTTTGGTAGCCCGACGACCTGCGCGAATTCTAACACTTAACAGTTTAACGAGAACCGATACTGCCCACCCTTGTTCCCTACGCAGCCTGATCAAAGTGCCGCTTACTGATAGCAGCCTGAGCTACTTTACTTCAGTAGTGTCTATACGATCAGTCCACTGAGGAACCACTTAAGAAATAATTGTTTCTAGCGCATTAAAAATAAGTTTCCATTTTCAAGACTTACCAGACGTGAATGTAAAACAAATTATTCAAAAACGCGTAGTTGCCAATAAAAAACGAAGGTGAGAAACAAAACGACGTGAGCAGAGAGAAACTAACAGAAAAATCATTGGCAGATCTGGGTATGCAGAGCCAGGGAGGGACTAATGTGGTTAAGGGATTATTCAAATTAATAAAACAAGAGTGGTTCCAATGAACCGGGCTCTAATCCCAGCAATGGCTGATGGTTACGAATTCCACTCCCGGCTCACACGGACCAGTGCTGACTTAAAATATCCTCAGTGGTAGACGGATCATGGGTTAGAGTCCCCTTGCAGTGAGGCTAACCGTGGAAGATTTTCCCACCAAATAAGGCAAATGTGGGCTAGTCCCAACAAAAAGTCCTCCACGAAGACAAATTTCTCCCAATGCTTGATCCAAGAGTTCTCTGGTCTTCTGGATTAGGCTCAAAATTAACAAGGCTACGGAGTTGAACATTGGTGGTCAAACTAAAAATTGGGTCGGTTGTTCAACAACGGTTATAAAATAAAATGAATGAAAGACTAGGGCACAGATTTGATTTTTCTTCTGTTTCATTTTTTTTCTTTGTTACTGTGGTTTCAAGTTTTGGTTCTCACTTTTATTTTGCCATTTTTCGTTTGCAAATTTACGTTTTTACTTCAAATCATTTTTGTGTTCCATTCAAGTCTGTCAAGTTTTGAAAAATAGGAGTTAAATTTTTATGAGCTTGAAACATGCGACTGTTATTTCTCGTATATTTCGCAAGAGAATGAAGTTTTTTAATCTAGTATTTATTTTGCCGCTTCAGTTTCTTTGGATTATTTAATGTAACTTTAGTTTCTAAACATTTCTGGAAGACATTAGACCCAGTTTACCATGTTACACATCATTTTATCAAATAAAGATTTGTCAAATATCAAGTTACTGTGAAAACTAATTTTATTTCCCCTCGTATAGCGACATAATTTTAATGAAAAATTGAAAAAATGTTCGAATCAAGTAACCTTTTGTACTGCGATTGTTTGGCCAAGATTTGAAGAAACCCGCTATAAAATATTCCTCATTACACAAAGGTTGCTAAAAACTAAATTTAACTTTTTAATTACATGAAAAGATAAGTTTACTATGATTTTTGAAAATTATAACATTCTGAGTTTACTTTCTTCTAAGCTATATATTTTTAAGTAGAATTTACATTAAATCTTCAGTCTGTGGGGATATACTTTAAGTGTCATAAATTTTGCACATGTTTCGTTTAAAATGCAGTTTTATATACAAAAAATTTGTAACACGAAAATGTTCGACCAGAAAGATTAGTTTTAAGACTTGCTCAATTTTGTAAAATTTCAAAAGCTTTAAATTAAAACTTTGAAGCAAAAATAGTTACATAGAATCAAAATTAAACAGTCAAATTTTAAAATATTTTCTGCAGAATTTAATTTGTGGTTTTCTCAGTAACATGCAACTTTATGCATTAGTTTGATTTAATAGGATTTTAAACACAAAAAATTTCTAACGATGCAAATTTTAAAGACTTCAAATTAGTTCTTAGCTTCTGCACTATTAGCTGTTGCATCTACGTTAAATTCATGTTCATTTTTCTTTGATGCGATGAAATTTACAGTATTGCATACATAATAGAAGATTGCTTATAACATTTGGCAGATTAGTTACACTCGGGATCAGATTAGTTTAAGTATTTAGGCCTAATGCAAGATATAGGTAGAATTGTGGACATAACCTGCATAGTTTACACTAGTTTCTTTTCTGAATTTAATTTTGCCAAGTTATGTGGTAGATCGGTGGTTAAGGAAACGTTGAATGTTCCTAAAGGAAGCACAATTAAAATTTAGGATTTCAAAAATCATTCTAATCTAGCTTTCAACTTTTAACATATGCTATTAAAGTAATTTTGGATGTACATTTTACTTGAAGGCTATGAAACAAATTTCAGACACTGAAGTGTCCTTTAAGAGTTTCGGATATTAGATAACGATATAAAGCTTTGTTTTTCTGGGCATTCATAGAAATCTTTAATAGAACTGTCACCTATTTATGGCACTAAAATATCAATAGCAGGGAATACGAGTAAATCTACGATTCAACGTAGAATTTCTTGGAACTTTAAACAATTTGTGATACATAAGAAATACTTACTTGCACACTAGTACAGGCTCCAATTATAAAGCCTACTGATTGAGCAACTAACGAGATCATAATTGATGACAAAAGGAATAAGCCGAACCGTAGCATGCTATTTGGTTGAGAAGTCATCCAATAAACTATACTCCCATAAATAATCGGAAACAGGAACTGTAAAAGCCAAAAATAAGATTGTTTTAAAAATTTAATCCTAATCAAAAAACTTAGTGTATACATATCTACCACTACAAAAATACAATTCCCTAGTATATAAGACATGTTAACTCGATTTCATGTTGGGGTATCTTTCATAGACGAAGGTTGACATTGTCGATATCTACTACACCCACAACTTATTTAATAGCACGCTTTGAGCTCTTAAAGGTCTAATTTTAACACTAAAAATTTTAGATATTCAAATTGAAAACAAAGGTTTAATTACTAAAAACTAAGAGGAATTAATTAGCTTATTCCTCGTTTTAAAGAAAGATTGCATGAAAAAGTGCTTAAAGTACATAAAGACTAATCATATCCTCGTTAAAACTAGTGAAATTGTTTTATACCTTACAATTGGTATGGAATTGCCGCAATTTTAGATTCTTTCAGCAAACATAATTGCCGAATAATATACTTAAAATTAAAAGGATTGTACACCATACATTTGTACTTAAAAATATCTGGACAAAGTTAACTTAATGGGGATACAAGCTATTGAAAAATTGTTTAAAATTTCTGATTTAGTTTCTTACAATTAAGAAAAATTTCTCAAAACTTTATTGTATAGGGTATTAAGCTTTAACAGAAGCATAGTATCAAGTTGCAATGACAAAAGATCCCCAGAAAAGGTAATCTTGCTTCAATTTAATGTTGTTAAAAATCTGAGTTTGATTTTTGTATTTTTAGACAACAAAATCAGTCTAGTTATAAAATCTAGTTAACTGTAGTCATTGCTTACATTCAAAACTATACAAAGTGAAACTATACATTTCAGTTTTTCGGAATTTACGATTGCATGTCTAGTTTAAGGACACGAATTTTTGCATGTTTTATCAAACTAGGGTGGCAATAACGAAGAAAATTTAAAAATTGTAGAGAAATATTGCAGAAAGTTCTGCGATTAACATTTACCAAAATATATTTGCAAAATAAAACATTATCTAGATGTTAAAACTAACGAAATATATTCCCGAAATTGAGGTTGATATAAATTCTTTTAATTACTTCTTCAAGAGAAGTGTCGCACCTTGAAATTTTTCAGATTGGTGTCACCCCGCTTACGTATGGTCAGTAAGCTGTTAAAACGAAAGCATTTATTGGATCTCAAGGTCTTGAGAATTGTTAAGCTAAATACAAAACATTTGCACCGCTGCATTTCTTTAAAACAGGTAAGTCTTCATATAGAAATTTTTATAAATCTAGAAGCAATACCAAATTGAGTCTAGACATCGGCCTAGTTTACATTCAATGCGTAAATTATGGAATAGTCAAAAGTACGTACTTGGAACGGAATTTCTGCTACAGTTTTTGCCATGTAATATATCTTTGTACTGTACCAACTGTTCAGATGTTCTCTAGCAAATATTGTTTTTTCCATGGGAACTAAAGAAAAGATTACATTTAGACTAGGAAATAAAAACGAAAGTTGAAATATAAAGACTACAAATACTCACATGTTAATACTGTTGGCATCATGGCAGTAAAGATTAAGAAGAGTAATGAAAAGAATAAGAAACCGGAATTGTTGAAAATTTTACTAGCATCATCTCCTATTCCATAATAAAGCATTCCAAGTAGTATTCCGACAACTACGTGAGCAAAGAAACGCAACTGTGTTGCCATCTGGAAAATCATTGGGATTACAATTAATATCAAATAAGTTTTAATAAAAAGTATCTGGTATTAATCGAGATACAAATTCTCAAACAAATCAGTTAGGAAACTAATTAGACAGTGCATATTTTGATACTAGTCAAGTCCCGGATGGTAATTTACAAACCAGCAGCCTTTAACGACGGTTTCCCTTTAACTGTAGTTGGTCCTAAATACAAATTTTTATTTCTTTCAGAATTTGTTACCTGAACTAAAAGGAAATTATTTTTTACATAAAGGAATGACAAGCAGCAGTGGGTTTTTAAAGGCTGCTGGATTGGAAAATAGCGTTCCGTATGCTATTGTTCAGCGCAATTAAGCAACTTTTTATTTGAACTGTGAATTAGTATTCTGTAAAAATTAAAATTTTATAAATGAAATTTTGGATCAAATTATCGCAGTTAAACTAATTCTAAGGCATCCTGGCTTAAACATAATGCTGTAGAACCGCAGATTACAAAAATGACGCCAATTTTAATGATAAAAATTTAGAATATATTCAGTAGTTCTCAGATTGTAATAAATTTGATTCAAGGCAGATTGCTTAATTTACCAGAAATTAAACATTTTAAAAATGCTAGTTTACTTTCAAATGAAGGTAAAACTAAATTTAAAATCAAATTACGAATTTCACATTTAAGGCAAATTTCAAATTACGTATCAAAAGTTTAGTTTCAAAAATTTATTTTTTGCATGTACAGTTTAATTTTGGGCATTATTTAAAAAATTTGTATCACACTATAGCAAAAAGGAATTTGCTTACTGGCTCACGAAGGGTGCAAATCAAGGACCTGTATGTTAACACTTTAAATTGATTCCAGGAACTCGTAGCATATCCACTATATCCTTTCTCCAGGTCATTCTCCTGGAATTTAGAGTTTTAAGTAGAAATAAAAAAGGTAAAAATAAGCAGTTTAGAAATTCATTTTGAAATAAATTTGCTAGACTTAAGAAAAGCAATAAAAGAAATTTTACTTCATCATTTCCAAACTAGTTAAGATAAATCGTACAAATCTAAGTTTCAAATCAGTCTGCTGCTCGAAACCAAATAAAACCTAGTTTACTATTAATCAAGTAGTAATTCACCACGAAGCCTAAATTTTAAGGCCGTTTAACTAAGATATTTAATTTATAGTATGGTTTAAGGACAAGGTCCGAAAAGGACAACGGCACCAAGCACTTTTAAAACAGTTCAGCACGTGCATGCGTATTTTGTTCATAAAATACATAGATAAAATGGTGCTGATTAATAAAACAGAATAGGTAAAAATGTACTCACGATCATATAAATTGCATATAACTCTTCTATGGTATTTACAACTTAAAATACCAATAGCACGCAGAGAAGTTAAGATGACTGATTTTATCCAACAAGCATATAAAAAGAGCTACTAAAAACTAAAGATTTAAAATAAGGGAAACTTAAAATATGAATAGAAAATAAAACATTAGAAGTAGGGTCTTGGGAAGGAGGGCCCCCGAACAGAAAATGAAGGTTAATCAGTGGAGCAGGACTTTCGTAAACTTAGGAGCTTGACATCTGTACTGAACAAGCGCAACACAGGCCAAGGCCTTAAAACTAAATTGCATACTTTCAATTCTGCGTTATCTTGGAGCTACGAATGTTGCCACAAATTCGCAACTTGCGTAAGAATTTTTTATATCTGGAAACTACAGGGATTGGAATTGTTAAGGGATTGGTGCAGACCGTGCTGTAGAGTCGGCAAGATTGTATCTTTTATGAAACTAACACTACTTTCAATTTAATAAAACTATATTAAAACCATTCTTGAAGAGTCTTCAAATGATTTATGAATGTAAAAATTTACTAGTTTTGTTACCCATGTCTTTGCTGTTTCAGAGTGACTGAAAAGAGAAATTTCCGCTCCAAATGTGAAAGAATCTAAGATACCTAAATAACCAAACTAGACAAGGGCTTTTAGTCTAACCAGTTAACTATTTTAAGGGTATATTTAACGCCAGCATTTCTGATCAGAGTCAACAATGCAGCGAAGAAGTTTGAAATCACAAGTTCTTTTAAAGCATTGTTTAATTTTATATTAGACCATATTTTGGCAGCCTTAATCACATCCATTCAATCGCAGTCTGAGTACAATTCAATGGAAATTGGTTTAGTCAGACTGCTTATTTTCGTTAGCTATTTTTTTAATTTAATAAGTTTATATATTTTAAGTTTACCGTGAGCAATTGAAAATTTGTCAAATAAGGTGAAGTTAGATTCTCATTGTAGAACGAGACTTAAAAAAGCACATTCAGTATTCTGCAAGTTATATTTTGTAATTCTTATGTAAAAAGTTTGCATTTTAACTTAATTACAGAAGTGAAAAGTAATCATTTAAAATTTAAAGTATTACGAAATCACAATTATAAGCAACAAAACTGGCAAACTATAAGATAGAGTGAATCTTCAATTTCTACCAGAAAATTCCTCGTAATATAGAAATCTCAGTTGGCCCGAATTATCAGAAACTTTCTCCCCGCTGTGAAAAATTTTAATAATTAAGGGATATATCTGGAGGTTAACAGATTTCAAATTAATGGCTGTACTTATTAGCTGTAATATTAACGTGTTCTTTTATTTCAGATATCTTACTCTAAAGTCAGATGTACAAGGAAAGAACTTTGTTTTATGCTTGATATCAAATTTTTATTATTAATTTTAATATTTTTAAACAGAATTTTTCCATTTAAAAGTTAAAAATAGAGTAAAAGGAATGCTCTTGACGATCTTTCGCTGTTTAATTTGAATTTATACATTTCGTTACAACAAATTGGTTCCATAATGAATACTATAATTTGTAATTGGAGTTTTCACATCAATAATCAATGTTTAAAATTTTACAATTTTAATTGTAAGCATATGATCCATACAAATTTTCCTGTAATTGAAAAACATTGGCATTTCTTATAAAGTATCTGACTATTGTATACCATTTTAATTTATGACATTGTAATAGATAAGGTCAAACATTGTGTTTAGACTTAAAAAAAATCAATATATTAGACAGATTCAAAACAATTACTCTAAATGCTTTTTTTTCCAGACTTACTTCATGGTACTCAATTTTGATTGAGATTTAATGTAAAAATTACACGAGAAACAATGCCTCGCGTGGAGATGCGTAGGCTTATAAAACTACAACACATAAAACAAATTACTTTAAAATTTAGTTCTGCAGACTCTGGATTAATTTCCCTCTTGTCAGAGTAAAAATCTGAATTATACTCCATTTGTCTAAATTACAGGTCATTTCAGCTTCTTCTACTCCGTAGTTAATTCTTTCAGAGATTAAAAACGAAATTTCTCAATATTTTAATATCATGTGCCAAAACTTACATTTTTGTACCATAAAGCTGAAAATTAATAGGCAAAGGAATTTCAGAATTTTTAAATACAGCTGAATAATGTTTTTTAAAATGCGCAAAATTAAGCGAATATCAATCAATATTCTACAATGTCTGATTTCTTTCCTCTTAACGAATAGTATAGATATAATAGTACAAATGTGATAATAGACTAAAAGATGTTGGTCCAAGGGTGAGAAAAATTCTAACCAGTAAAATTTGGGCAATGAAGCAACCCTATAGGAAACTTCGAATCGCAAAATAGCCTTCAAAGTAAGACGGAACGGAGGTTAAGTTTACGATTGATTATAATTCTCTGGCGTGATAACAGTATTAAAACTATAAACAATCTTGTTCTAATTTTAGCATTAAATATGACGTAGAGAAATTTACATATTTGGTATTTATTTTTTAAAATTTAAACTTACCGCTAGAAATGAGGGAGCCGTGACGTCATTATCTAGAAGACACAATGTAGAGGCTTGAAGGCCAACCTCAAGCCGGCCATCATAAATACACTCTTCAGCCAGCTTCAGATTGTCCTCGAAAAAATCTTTTGCATCTACTGCATGCTTCAACTTTCCAATCCAGTCGCCATGCTCACCAGATGCTACTTCAGTTGCTGAAGAACAAGATTCATATCAAAGTACATTAAAAATTGCGTAGAACGTTTTTGCAATTTAATGATTAGATAGTGGAATAAAAATTTAAGAAGTTCCAAGCCAAACTAATGAGATCAGAGCTTAACCGCTTCTCTGATTATCCAGAGTTTAACTCTGGTATGTATAGATTACAAATATCCCGAAAAAGCTCTGCAGAATTTGTACGGTTTGTTTTATCACATTTTACTTGACTGGAAGCAAGATTTCAGATTATGAAGATGTTAACAAGACTAATATTTTAACTTTTTTTATTTGCCCGAAATGACTATGGATAGTAAATTAAATGCTTTTTACACATAACTAAAATTTTCAACTTAAAACTGTTGTATTATGTTTCGTTTCAGTTCTTTGTATTTATCAAAATAAAAATGTTTAGTTTTTGAATGTTTGTCGAAAATTGTTAAGGGAAGCTGTTAACTCAGACAACCTATCGAAATTAAATGTAGGGTTTTGTTTTAAATCATTCTGCGTAGCAGCTAAATTACACAGACCCAAGAACTTAGTGTTTGTGGAAAAATATTCCAGTGAAAGTTCTACATAGAGTTTAAATGGCGTGGCCTAAATTAAACAGATTGCCTTATAAATTTTTTTACGGATTTAGCGCCTAAATTCTAGTTACCAGTACAGATTGCAATAGAAAATTCAGTTTTATATTATCCATAATTTTAAAGTTTTCATGTGCCTCTTTTATATCCCTTCCCCTAAAACTATGGAATTACTTTAGGAAGCTCCTTAATTTAAAACTTATGAGTACCAATGTATAAAATTGTTGAGGTTTTATACATTTAATTTTACTTAATCTTAACATCGATCAAAATTTTAAATTTAACTGATCAGTTTTCTAAGTACCTAGCACATGAATTTGCTTTAGTTAGCTCTACTAGGAATTTCTTGGATATCTAAATTTCACAACATTTTATATATAGCGTTAAAAACTTAAAGAGGCAATTTTAGGTTTGCTGACATTTGAAACAGTCACTAAACAATAACTTACTTTTATTTAAACTAATGCATACCTGCCAACTTTTTATCCCTTCCATTATGATTTTTCCCAGTGGTAGTAAAATGGAAATAAAGTTTCAATTGTAAGCAAAAAATACTTTGTAATTGAAAAAGCTTTAGCTGACAACCATGATTGTAATACTTTATATATGTTTGAGTTTTTTTAAGAATAGTGGTGATCAAAATAATTTTAAAATTTTAAAGAATAGTATATATATTACCACTTTACATATAAAAATAACTTTTTGCTCCAAATGCGTAAAAGTTGGTAGGTATGCTACTGTTATGAAACAAATACATACCAAAGTCTGTAGGATTATGATAATGAGGACACTGCAATCCTTGCTCAGCAAGAAAAGGTATCAATTCTTTTGAGCGTCCTCTGTAGATACATTGACCAGATGCTAACATGTAAAGCTGAAATAGAAAATCATTTTATGCGAAAATTGCAGGATTAAATTTTATGATATATTGCATAGGTGCTTACTGTTCCGGTTTTTAAGTCTACCAGTTATTTTGATGATCGAAACTAGCTTTTAAAAATCTGCTCTCGTTTAGGAATTCAGACTTCATTTTTGCACAAAGACAATTTAGTTTTCCACAATTGTTCGTGTGCCCTTTATTCTTTCACTTCAGCCACAAAGATTTTCGAAATCGAGAGCTCTCAAAATAAATGAATGTTAAACGAGATATAAGAATTTACTAAATAAAGTTTTCAAAGAAGTCTTTATTTACTAAGCTCTTTAATTATCTGTACAATTTCCTAGCCGTGAAAATATTCAATAACTAAATATTAGGAGCTATGTGTTCAAAGATTGAGGTTTTCGTAAATACCACGTCTTTGAAACTCTGAATTTTCAAATTACGTTTTAATTCTTAAGGTACACAAAATTGGCGAAATTACCAAATTTTTACATTTGAAAGGTCACCAGTCCCAATTTAAGATAATTAGTTCATATTTTTATTTGGTTTCATTAACTCCGATATACGATTAAAATTTAGACGCCCTATTTAATTGAAAATATTTAATATTGTAGTTTATGTATAGCTATTTAATCTTAAATTAAATTACAAATTTAATTTACATTCGGTATAAAACTCAGAACAGTAAACTTTAAGGTAACAAGGGACTTTCAAATACGCAAAAATTTGCCACGGAATAGATTTTCACTTTATATTCTTGAAATCTAGACATTTGACTGAACATTTAAGAAAATCTCTTTAGTATGAGCAAGACTGAAGAAGTTTTGACCAAGCCCTTTTCACGCCCTGCAATGAAAAAGTAGTAAAAGTCAGTTCTCAAAATTTGACAAATTTACAAATTTCAATCTGTTCCAGCGAGGTGAATTTTCATTCTATTGAACTAAGAATTTGATGCTATATATTTATGAATATTATTAACATTTTGTTGGAAAACTTGAATATATTATTTTTGTACATGATAATTAATAGCGGTATGATGATTTTTCCAAAAATTTCTGTTCTTTCAGTGCTTTTTTTTTATTGTTGTTTCAATAATGAAAAATAAAAAGTACTCCAATTTTTTTATATTACCCAATGTAATATTTCAGAAGAATTTTAATTAACAAAATTTCAGACTAGAGGAATATAAAACATTTGAAATTTAAATTCTTAAATTTTGAAATTTTGTATAAGAATTGTTTTTAACAATAAATCTATACTAAGAATTTTAAACAAATCCCTTGACAATTTCTAAAAAAATTTTGGAAGTCCTTTGTAGTCTTAAAAATAAATTAGGAAATAGACATTACCCTATCGAAGATTTCAAAAACTCTGGCACTAGGTTGATGAATTGTGCAAACAATCGTTCGTCCTTCTTGAGCTAAAGACTTAAGCAATTCAATGCATTGAAGACAGGAAGAACTATCTAGACCACTAGAAAACACCACATTAGATAAGTGCAGTAAGATCTTAAGTTATTTTAAACATAAAATTAAAAGACTGTTCTTTCAGCAGTGTATCATTCAACTACTCTTACGGTTGAGAAAGGATTGGCAAGTATTCTAAAACTACAAATTTCATTTAAACAGGCATAAACTATCAGAGTTAAGGGACGAATTCAGTGCTACGCATAAGGTTAGACAATGTATTAACTCACACTAATTTGCTCTATTTATAACAATGAAATTAGATTTTATATCAACAATGCCTCGAAGTTTAGACCTCGTAGATAAAAATTTTAACACTAGAACAGTTTGATTTCGGACTTGCATAAAACAGTCATTTGGGGTCAATTTGAACCTCTATGTTTCTTCAAAGTAATTTTTTTAAATGATGAATATTGTTAAAAATACAATATGTAAGAGTTTGAGATTAAAATAATTGTTTGCTTTATTTTTATTAATGCTATTACATAATTCAATATTGTATTACTGATTATTCTTTCGCAAAAACGCAAGTAAAACAAAAATAAACAAACGGCATGAATATAAATACTTATTAACACATTTAAAATGTTGATCTCCATCATTAGTTCCAACATTAGGGTAGGAGTACAGTATATCTGCGGGACTTGAAAGTGTAGACAAATTTGTATCATTTTACATAACTAATTAGTTTTATTCTGTGCCTTGCGATGTTAAAAGGCAGGTTTTGTTTTAGAGACTGAATTTTAGCAATTAGGAGCTATCTGATGCGCCAAGTACTAATTCAACAAATTAAAGAATGAATTTATAATGAGTAATTGTGGTATTAAAAGATTCTTCGAAAACAATTAAAGCTTTGAGGACAGCAGCATCAAGCGTTGGAAGGTAAGGCAAAGTACCTGCAACGTTTACCTCTTAGAATAATTCCCTAGTATCTAGTCTGCTAAACTTAAGACGCACTTTGTACTATTGTAGTAAGCAATACTTTACTTCTACTGTTATTGTCTGCAAACACATTCACATGAATATTAGTCAGAATTATGATATTTTATCTTGTTCTCTTATAAGGTATATAGTTTTCATTTTGCAGTGCAAAAAAATGAGTTTCAAGACGAAGTGATTTTAAAATGATGAAATTCTTTTGTTCAAGCGTAGTATTCCTGTAAAGTATTTACGAAAAAGTTCATTTGCAAGTTTTGCCTAGGCAAAATACAGTAATCCCTCTGTTCTTGGAGTCCAGGAATGGTTCCATAATTAGAACACTATACTTTCCCCAGTCTAATTCATTTGCCAGTTTTCCAACTTGTACAAATAAAGATAGCAATCTAAAGCCATTGATTTTTGGATTTTATGTCAGTTGAAATCAAAGTTAGGTGGTTTGAACCTCATTTAATCCTCATTAATTACAAGACAAAAACTGATTCCAACAACACTTTCGGTTCCAAGATTATAAAAATGTAACTTTACAAAGAGCAGACGTAATACTGAAATTCTAATTCAATAGGATCTCAACTGAGCTACTTCTATACAGAATATAAGATACCAATTACAAAAATTGCACGTGGCATTTACATGGGGGAGCCTAATTTTCGTTCTACAATTCATGTTCATAATGTTTGCAGTTACGCAAAATCAAAAACAGGTATAAAATTTTTCAAGTTTTTGGCTGCTTTAGATATTTTCATAATTTTACTAATCAACAGAAACGCATAAAACTTTGATATAGTATATTTAGAAACAAATTAGAAAGTAAAAAATGTCAAAACTTTCAAAAAGGACTATACATCCTCAATAGATATCCCAAAATTCTGTGCATAACAATATTTGCTACCATTGGTGTAATGATACATAATGTCCCAGACGTTAATAAATGGGCAATATGCTGGCCAGTCAGAGGTTTTTATATTCTGATAATTTAAGGATTTGTTCCTTGCGGTGCGAAATTAGGCATAGTTTAAAATTCCCAATGCAGCCTTATTTGAAACACAGCAAATGGGTTATATTCTGATGACTTAGTATAAAACTGAGGTTTAGGGCTTATCCATCTGTACTCATAACCGGTTAGAAACAATGGTCTTACATTAGCTAGATTCCTTCAGGCTAATGCGAGATTTTTTTTATACTCTTCTTTCACGCATTCATTAGACTTGGATTAAGTTCAGATTGAGTTGTTTAGAAGTTTATTAAAAATCAGCCCTATTAGCTCTGATTGAGTCGATTTTAAATATAAGAATACAAAATATGGAAACTAGATTTCTTTCAATCACGAATTTGCTTAAAATTTGAGAAGGATACCAAACTGTTGAAAGAAAAGTATGCCTTGACGAGATAAAAACTAAATAACTTTAACCGTATATACAAAATCTTACCTTGTTGGTTCATCAAGAAATATAAGAGGTGGATTGCTGACTAGTTCTTGAGCTATGCATAATCTTTTTCTCTGGCCTCCGGAAAGTTGACTGGCTTTGTTGTGCTGTCTTTCTATCAGTCCTAAGGATTCCATTGTTTCCTCAACCTGTTTCCGTAAGAAAACCAAAAATTTGTAATAGAACATTTTCAAAAAATAAATAAATCTTTTGCAATCGTTAGATAATCTGGGTATTGAGACATTAGCCTCCCTGCAAACTAAATTATGAGTTTGTCTAACTGCTGTAAAAATAGATAAGTTTAAGAAATAATCAAAACCAGACAGCAGTCACATTAAGATTACAATTTTATAAGCATTTATAAATGCCACATTTAAAAATGAAGTCACCACAATAACGATACTTGATTTTTATATGCTTAGTCTCCAGACTTTAAGATTTCCATCTAAAATATGCTAACTTGAGCAGAATTATAAATTAAAGTTACGAAATTTGATACAAATGTACTTTCAGTTTTAAATGTTTTTCAAAGGATTTATTTTCTGAGCGTTAAGATGTCAGGTAAACTGAACTACGAAAGATAATTTTTTTAGTAAAGTCAGGAGACCCAGGGGAGATTTAAGTAATCGCAAAGTAATATAGTAGAACATATAGTAAGACTTTGTAAATTTAGCTGTCTTAACTATATGTTCGATTTAAACTAAACATTTATGAACCTCTCATTTACTTGAATTTTATTGAAGACATTTTTAAAAAATGATAAAAATTTCTAAAGAATATGTATGATTTCTAATTCTAAAAACAATCTGTTTAATAGTTTCAGCTTATCCAAAATTTCCTGTAACCGACAAAATTTTAGATTTATTCTATTAGGATTCCATTTAAAAGTACGTAAAAATTTTGCTCAATTGATTAAGTATTTTATGGCCGTAAAACACCTGTTCAAACTAGTTTCAAAAAATTTTATTTCCTTTACTAGATATAGAAATATATCAAGGAAAAGTAGACCGAAACTTTCGTAGCATTGCATGGAAGACCATAAATGACTTGTCAAAGAAATAACTTTCATAATCAGACTTATACTAAAATTAAATCGGAGTTAATCTAGCTTATTTTCAAGTCATAAATCTATTAACACATTCATTTGCCAGCCGAGTGCAGGTGGTCATACTTTCTACATTGGAGAGTTATTTTAGCAATCGGCTTAGTTAAAAATTTTACAACAAGTTTACTATAATAATTAATGTTGTCATAAGAAAACAATCCCCAGCAACAATTTTACCTGTTTTTGAAACTAATATTCGGCTATCTAAAATTTCTTAATATATAGGGCCCATATCGGTCTACATACGGCCAATATATAACCTATATTGGCTTAATACTGAATATAAAATATTGGGCAAATCTGACAATTCTATATAATACCGCTATTGGTAGTAAAATATCGGGTGAATCGGAAAATTCTATAGGGCCAATGTTGGAAAAATAAGGGCCCTTTGAACTCTTGAGCCAAGATATCGGCACAAGTTATTTTGGTGCCTGCAAATATAGTTTAATATACCTCTTGCTAACTCTTCATTAACACAAACTGTGTTTGAGAATCTCGCTATATTGCGTGATTGGCGACGAACGTGTGATCAAATTTTTTTTAAAGTATTTATAAAGTCAGATAAAACTCTCGAAGTTTTAGCGACGTGATAAATCTCAAATTATTTCCATGGGAAGGATCTGCATTCAAAGCTAGGAAGGAAAAAGAAATCAAAATAGAACTCTTGTACTATTTGCTTAGAAAATTGCAGTTTAAGATATAATCTTTTAACCAGCATGCTAGAATGGATTTATAACCAGGCTGGAGAGATTCAAGACTATAAAAAGTACCGGTCATTAAATCCGAAAATTCAGGATCTTGCCCTACTGTACTGAAAAATATTTAAGTTGGAAAGGAGTTATATTACCTTTAAACATTAAATCATAAGAAAACTGGTTGGTTTTTCAAATATAAAATTTTGATATTTTATTATAAATATTTTTTTTAAAAAAGACATTTTAAATCATTGAATCTCGTGACGACATAGTTACGGTCGGGTTCTATTTCTAATTTTATTTGAACCAGACAATGTATTCGTTTTTAAAGCTAGACTTCCCAGAACATATTACAGCATTCATTTTCCCAGTATTAGGATTTTAGTTCTCATGGAAGCTCACGATAGGACTCTTCGCATAAAATTAGTTTAACTGAGATTCAAATAGAACTTAAATTCTGAACAAAATGTATCAATTTAGTATAGCCTATCTTGGTGACAGCGGTAATATCTCAAAAGTGGGGGGCGCGGCTCTCTCCATCCCTGTATCTATACATATATCAGTATAAACCGGGTTCGAATTATTTGTACCCACAAAAAAGTTGTAATTTTAACATCGCGATTTGAATTGTTTTTAATTAAAATAAAAATAAGAAATTGTTTACCTGTAAATTATTTCATTTAAGGGCATTTTTAATTCAGTTTCATTATATATTTTTTTTTAATTTGTTCGCTGTGACATTTGAAACCCAAAATTTCTCATCGGTCAGCAATAAGGAAGAATATTTCTTCTGCAAGGGATGATTTGGTAGCAGTTTTTAATCAAGAAAATATTAAAACTAGCTTGAGACAAAAGATTATCTACTTTTACTTTTTTTATATTGGAAAGTTTAATTACAAATACTGAGTGAGAAATTTTTAGTCTCAGAAGGGGCTGTATCTTCATTTATAAAATTTGAGAACCTGAAGTGCCCTCTGTCTCCCGGGTCTGGCCTTAAGTAGAAAATTTACGAGATTTTATAACTAGCAGTGGTCAAAGTAACATTTAATTTGAAAACTAAAGAAAAAATATAAATACATTTTTGTCATTCCGTTGTTAGCTGAACTGCTCTTTACCCAAGATCAGTTTATGAGTGGGTACACTATTAACCAGCCATCGTCTGGATTTAAACCAGAGTCACTTTATTGGTGCTCTATCTAACGGGTATTTTTTAAGAGAACCTGCAGATGCAGTTTAATGGCACAAAAACTACGGTTCACAGTAATAGTACTAACGTAAGCTATTGGTAATTAAGGTCAACATTACAAATTATGGATAACAAGTCTGCCTCAAAAATACGAATAATAAACTATTACCAATTCACTTCAGGTTCGTGAAGCTGAACAAAAGCCCCTGGTAAGACTAGGTAAACAGTAATTACCTTTTCATTTTTATTCTATGAGGTTTCTTAGCCTTATCTTTCGCAAAGAGCCGTGATGGCTCAGGGGATAGAGAGCTTGCCTTCCAATGAGGCTGGTCGATACGAATTCCGCACTGACATAAAATATCCTCAGTGGTAGACGGATCATTGGTTAGTCCCCTTGCAGTTGGGCTAACCGTGTGAGGTTTTCCTCTCCTTATAAAGCAAATGCGGATTAGTTTCATCAAAGTCCCGAACAAAGTAAAAAGTTCTCTCAATACTTGATCCTGGAGTTCCCTTGTCTTCTGGGTAAGGTTCAAAATGACAAGGGTACTGTGTTGAACATAGGTAATCATAAACCTGAAATTTGGCCTGCTGTTCATCGACGATTATGAAAATTAAATCTTACGCCAAAGTCCCCGTTCTAATGAAACTGAATGAATATTTAATAAAGTTGTAGCAAGGGAGAACATTTAGTACCCCTGTAAGAGTTATAATTTAAACAGTTCAAACTTAATTATATCTAGTTCTTAATTCGCAAAAACCTCCGGTCATTTTATAGCTTTTTATGTTGCGCCAATAAAAATAAAAAATACCGATGTATTGCAGGAATTTTTATAGCTGAATTCAAAAATCCACGAGTCTTCTGAAAAATTAAGGTAAACTTCCCTTATTTATTTTTAGTTCAGAAAAAAAAAATTCAGTAAAGAAAAATCTAAAATTTAACCAACGCTTTTGGGAATTTTTTAATTTCAGAAAATTTGATTTAAGTTCACTATAAAAAGATTTAAACTATTAAAATATACATTCGAAAGCCTAAAAAGCTCAAGTTGCATAAATTTAAACCGAAAAGAAATTTATAAAAGATAGATATCGCGAAAACTATTCGCCGTTGAGGTTAATACCCTTAAAGTAGTCAATTTGTATAACTTAAAATTTTACTCAAGGTTACAAAAGTCACAATAATGTCTTTAAGGAAAAACTGATCACGCAACTTTAACGTCACGACAACGCTGAAAAGGAAGAAAAATTCTCACCAATTTCTGTTTATCCTTTTTCGACACACTGGACGGTACTTTTAGACAGGCAGCCAGGTAGATTGACTCCCGGACCGTAAGGTGTGGGAGTACATGATCGTCCTGCATGATGTAACAGGACAGTTTCCTGTAGATACGCATGTCTCGCTCCACACCATTCACTAGGATTTGGCCGGACACTTTCTGACGCCTGCGTAAACAAAGGATGAGGGTCAGGCGTTACACTTCATGGTTAGAACACAAAATGGAACGTTTTCGTCCCACTTTCGCGTAAGAAAGAGTATTTTTTGTTCAGACTTTGGAGTCAATGGCAGGAAAGTATGGAATAACATTTTTTCAAGAGCTCGCAATTACCCTTGTCACGAATGCTTGAAACCTTAATGAGTTTTCTGCTTTGGAACTGGCGTTCCATGACAGTATCTTTTAAGAATTAATTTGTTAAATCTGACTATTAATTGTTAATTCAGATTTGCTAAAACTTATTTAAAAAAAGAAAATTTAGTAGCTGAAATTCTTAATTGTTAAAACATATATTAGTTTTCATGAATACATGCAGCAACTGATTGAATATAACAAATATTGAAGCTGTATACACGGATGCAAGTTTAAATTTACAACTGTGCCGAGCATTTATTGCACCGATCACTTTCAATAGATATCTAAAAGATTTCTAGTAATCTGTAAATTTAGGTATTTTTAAAAGTAATTTAAAGCATTCCTTGAACTCATAAGTTAAGATTGTTTTAAAATTTATACAGCCATAATACTTTAATTGCTTTTTGGGTAAAATTTGTCTCAGATGTTTCTGCTCTCAATTTGCCGATTTATCATTTGAAAGCATTACCTTTCATAAAGGTATTAACCCTTTCGGTCCCAGTGATTCCAATTGGAATCATTACATTTAAGATTTTTATCTGCTTACCTAAAACTCGATTTGATTTGAAATAGGCGGTATTTTAATCTACAAACATTCCTCTAACGAAATATATTTTTATTTTTCACCAATAGATGGAGGCACTACATGTGTTTGTGATTGAAATGATACTTGTTTCAGTTTTGTTCAAATCCATAAAAGTTATTGAAATAAAATATCTTTGAGGCATTTTAAATTAAAGAATATTTTTAAATATTTCATTTTTATTTATTTAAATGTTCATAAATAGTATTTCAACAATTTTTAACAATTTTCATTTTGAAAATTTATTGCTTTTATTTATTGAAAAGCCATGATTCCAAATGGAATCAGTGGGAGTTGAGTACAACTCTATATCACTGTCTAATGCGTTGTTTATTTTGAATTTATATCGTTTTTCTTTGCTCTTTCTTATTACTTTTTCAAGTTTTACTAAGATTTTTGGATAAAAAAGACTTATTTCTTTTTGTTATTATTTTTCCTGATGCCAAAGCAAAAAGCAGAGGCTTTATCTATTGATAAAGCGGTTCATTTGCTTATGAATGGAGACTTGTCTGACATCGAAATAGAAGACTTGGATTCAGATGAAAAAACTAGTGATAATGTTCTAGGTGATATATCAATGGAATCTAAAGTTAATTACAACTCAATTGATGCACCCAGGGCTGGATTAACCTATAGGCACAATAGGCACGTGCCTAGGGCCTACGAAATTCAGGGGTCTACGAAAAACTTGGGAGAAAAAAATTTGTTGACAAAAATAATTTTTTTCTATTAGTAAACATTGAACCTACCTTGCAAATTTATTTATCAATAATTTCAAAAGATTAACTTTTGACAATGTTAATTTCCTTCACTTAGTTATCATAGTAGTATCATAAGAACTATGAAGTTATTTGTAGTATAAATATTTCTTGTAATTAATCTCACTATCAATTTCACTGTTTTCTTTGCTGGTTTGTTGTTGTATTGTTGACGTGAAGTGTTTACATAGTTATCGATCGAACTAATCATAATGGTATTATCGATATCAACTGCAATATCGGCAGTATGTCGGTATTGCAGATAAAGTTCGATAAACAAATTTGTAAATTAAAATCCATATTAATAAAAATTTACAAAAAAATATATGCAAGAAAATTTTAGCATATATTTTGAAAAGAGGGGAGGAGTGGGGGAAGGAGGGGAGGGCCCAAGAACGGCTATGCCTAGGGCCTACGAAAGGTATAATCCGGCTCTGGTATAATAGGTATAATCCGGATCCCTTAAGAATCGGAGAAATAGCACCTGATAACTTAAATTATGTGGTCAGAAATTTATCAAATTTTTAAAGTGTTTAGATTTTTAAAAATTAATTTTGTGGATGCTGAAAAATTCTTACTACGTTAATTATGCATAAAACAGGTTCAAAAATTTTAAGACAGGTAAACGTATAATGATTTGCTATATTTCCAACAATACTGTTTGGAGTTTTAATTTTCAAAAAATTAAAATTCTTGGAAAACCCCTTATATTATCGATTTAAGTGATGACCCTTTGTTTCGAACTATAGCGTCTCGTATAGTTAATATCCAGAAACTGTTAAATAAAGACTTCTTTAAGATAAAAAAATAATGACTGAAATTAAAAAAAAAAAAGAAACTAGAGATTTAGAATTTTTGCCATCCGTTGCAACGTTGTAACTAAAAACCTCAGCAGGGTGCCATGTGGCGGCATTAATTGATTGAGCTGTTATTTGGGATCGATGGAGGGCAGTGATAAAGAAATTTAATAGGAGTGGAGATTGGGTGCTTTTCATCAAAATCAGCGGGGATCATGAAAACTGAGATGGTATAGCCTATGATCTAGTCGTAATTTGAAAAAAAGTCGATAATCAGTCTAGTAATGACACAAGAGCGAGAAAATAAAGACTAGATTTATATACAAAGTACGGGTGAAATAGGGATTAATATACACGAGTAATTCTGGGTTGAATAAAATAGTCACATCTGTACAAATGGGAATAGAATAAGTATAAAAATTAAACACAATATACAAAAATTGAAAGGCTAGTAATTAATCGTAGCAATGATTAATTAAAGCGCAATTTTGCCATTAAAGAGCAAACCCAGACGTTCCGGAATTACCGATCGTTTCTGGGTTGCTCAACTCACCATAAGTTAGCAAGTGCCAGTTCCTTGGTTGCGCCCCCATAGGGTTGCTCTCATACCGCGATCCTAGTAAATTTTGTTAGGTGTGATAAGTATGATGTAAGTTGAATAAATGAGGGTAATAATTACACCCTGTCGCCAATAAAGAACGCAGTATTGGAACTGTACTTTAAAATGTAATCTACGAGATCAATGTCGAATAGTAAATTAAAATCACTTTTTGCCATCCGTTTACTCCATAACATTAGTTTAATTGGAAGTTTAAGGCATATTAAGCACACTCTTCAACATTTGAGGTTTAGAGTTTTCTTCAAGTGCTAGTGAACTAAAGAAAATTTTAAATCCTCACAAAACTTAAGGATCATTTACCTAACCTCTTATATATCTCTATATGTAGTGGACAAAATTACTTTAAATTTATTAAAATATTACCGTTGCTTCCTTTAGGAAAATGGTTTCTGAAACTATGGAAATTTCGTTGTTAGAATGCTTGCTCTTAATCCCATTCTCACGGAATGAGAATCTGCACGGAATTTTTTTCCATATCTTTATACTTATACTAAACCTCTAAGCTTCAGAAAAATCTAAGAAAAAAGAAATTTATCATCACTCAAATTTTTGAGAGTGATTTCACTCTATTTTGCCTTTATTGAGCAAAAATGTTTTGAATGCTGATGTATATACGCAAAATATTTTATTCCATTAGTTTAAAATTCTATTTAAGCCTTCTTATCGTTAGCTATAGAAAGAAATTAGTTGTCAAAACGCTTCTCGAAATCTATTAAGAATTTAATTCTTTTTTTAATTTCACGACAGTGTAAGCGTCCATGCTCCTATTAAAACTGAATTTCAATGCTTAAAGTGTTCGACTACGTAAGTAATGCTGAGGCATTTAGTAAAAAGATACCATTTGATATTAAATGACCGAATGAGTAAAACTCTAGGATTAGTAATTTTGTATCAAAAGATACTGTCTTGAGATTCGATGCACTCTATTTACGGTCTGGAAAGTACATACATTGCATCTCAGTAAATTAACTTCATGGAATAATTTAGGTTTGGCTGTATTTTATGATTCCATAGACGTAGGATCCAGATGTAGGTTCCATGAAACCGGACATCTCCCTAATCCTGTTTATAAAAGATCATATTCGAATCTAAGAGTAACTTGAATACCGCAAAAGATCTTTGTACCCTCTTTTGACAAAAACAAATTTAAAAAGATTCGCGTACATAGGGACATTAAAAGGGCTTAAATTTTATCCCATCGCAGTGAGAAAGAAGTTTTGCAAATATTCAATTTTAAAATATTTAGTCCCGAATTAAAAAAGCATTTAAGAAAACTTGCTAGAAATGTTTGAGATAATTTTCATTATTTGGGATAAATGACAGTGTCGTGGCTGAGGGAAGTATGTTATGAATTTGTCTCATTTTCTAGTCAAGATCAAATTGACGGATCTTTAAATTGAGGTCATAGATCATTAAGTCACAATCACTAATCTAAAAATATTAATTTCAGAATTATACAACTGTTAACCATTTTTAATACTAGACAAATGCTGAAAACTAGTCCCTTGTCATATTAGAACCACTATAAGATTCTATGTAAAATTATAACTGTCAGATGATACTATACAGTTGTATTATTTTTACTGATGAAAATAGTTTGCTCTTGCTTACGCTCCTGTATCAATTGGTTAAGATTGTAATGCAATACGTTAAACCGAATGCAAATAGGAAGTATATAAAAATCTCCGGAATAAAAACCCCATTACATGTTTAAATATAAAAGTATCGTATATAAACTCGTGCAAATCATGTAATTATTAAAAAACAACAGAGGGTCTAATAATTTGATCTAATTATAATATACTAATGCTTTAAATAAATATTCTATATTTATATAATATATAGTCTAATTTATCCTATGGTCAAATTTAAATTATATATCTTCTAATTTAAGCAATTAATACATTAACGTAAGCAAGTGCAAACCAGTTTCTGCCACATAAAAGCTCTATAGTATCGCCTGACAATTAAAATTTCACAGAAATTTATAGCGAGTCAAATAATTTTACCAGGGACTTACGTGTCCAGGGAATTAAAAATCTGAAAAATAACTTACGTGAAACCAGAAAGAACATTAAGAAGGGATGACTTTCCGGCTCCCGATGGACCCATTATTGCAGTCAATTCACCACCATGTACTTTACCGGATACACCTTTAAGTATCGGTTTATCTAGAAGAAAAAATTTATTTCATTTAAGCTTTAAAAGTGCTATTTAATTATTGTGAATAGCACTCTTAAAATGTTGATTTACGCATAAACTTAGAATTTAAACAAACTTGTTACAAGTCATTTTCAAACATAAAAAGGTCCCAAACAGAATTTCTTGGAGACAAAATTGTATAAATTTCGTTTTGTATCTCTTTCAACTTTCGTGCTTATTGCGAAAACATTTAGTAGAAACACGCAATTTTTTTTTTAAAGTGGCTACTTAAGTAGCTGATCCAGTTAAGTGGGAAGTTAAACATTAGAAACTCTCCAAAAAATCTATACAAGTTGGCAAAGTGGCAGTAAATATTTGACTACTTTCTGAATATTATTCAGATATTTCATAACAGCTTAACTAATAGATTTAGCATACATGAGCTTGAATTATTGATGTCACGATTAGAATTTTAAATATTTAAAAGGGAGGTTTCTATTTTAAAATGTAAATGTTACAACTAAAACAAACTTCAGATAACCGTAACATTCGACAGCTAAGGAGATTTTCATAATCTCAGCGAAGCTTCTCTTCAACATTTAGGTCTTTAGCTAAACTTTAAGCAGCAAAACAATTTCAGTGCTAAATTTCCTTATTTTGAATGCAGCAATTTAGCGACAATCTCAGAATTTATTTTTATCAGATATTATTTAAATCATGTTTAGAATAAGGAGAGTTTTGTAACTTTTTAAAAATTCTAAATATCAAAATGTCTACAATTTCATGTATCAAGAACATCTTTTATATAAAATTAGTATTAAAATTCTTGTTATAGTAAGAAATTTAACTAAAAATAACCGCATTTGTATAAAAGCCAGCTTCTAGCACTATTATCTATTTCAATAAAAAGCACAAATTACCGTATATCACATAATTGTTTGAGTGCTAAGAGAAATAAAGCTGTCGCACCATTTTAGTTTTGAAACTGTCAAGTAAACTCCGAATGGTTTCTGAAAATTGAGACAAGCAGTCTCATCATTTATAGTGCAACCTTAAATCTACATTTAAGAAATAAAGTTTGTCTATAAGAATAGTTTAATTACCACCAGTTCCAGTTAATTCAATATTTCGCCATTCTACAGCGACTGGAGGTCTTCTAAAATGAAAACTTCCCTTTCCAGGAGATCTAAGATCTTTGGGAGTTTCAGAAGTTGGAGAAATGGTGTAAGAACTGGTTAAAGGAGCTGTTGTAAACAAGCAGCTGACAGCATCTTTTCCTTTACCATTTTCCGGCATTATAGCTCTAACAGCCCATTGAGGAGGATTATCTTTTTGAGGCGGTGAATCATATTTTTGAATGGAAACCAACTCAGCCATCATGAGCGGAACGCTCTCCTAAAAAGAAAAAAATCTTAAATAAATTTTTTTTAAGATTTACCACCTATATCTTTACTACAGCTTTCTTGAAAATAGCTCAGATTTTTGAAAAATAGTGAAGATAGAAAGATTTACAAGAACAGCAACAGAGGGCTCAAATCTTTTTTACGAGTCTACTACTTTGTCCTAAAGCGGTATAATGACTACTTAAATGTCTCGCTACAGCCAAAATAAAACAGGCTGTATGTTAGTTTTAAATACCCAGTAGATAATTCTTTGTAAACAAAGGGAAAATTTAACTAGATTTTAGTTTGAGATTGAAAATTAAATTTAGAGATTTAAACCGAACTAAAGTTTCCAATGAATTTTCACACAGCTGCTTTGGTCAGAACAAGAAATTTGAACTTCAGCTCTCTTCCATATTGTAAATTTGGGGAATATTACATAAATTAGTTGTTTAACTTCATTCGGCTGTTACCAGCAATGTGAATCAGACATCCTTGTTTTTGCACCAGGCTCTTCAGTTTCTTTTGAATAATCTAATACAGCGTTGAACCCTCTTTTGGAAAATAAACTATGTGTTCTCTTTCCAAAGAAGCGCTTTCCTTCAAATTAACTAAAACAGATTTTCAGCTGCTCTTTTACACTAGATAATAACCGGACATAGTACTCCGTAATACTACATCGGTTAAGATAATTTTGTGACATAAATAAAAATTTCGCTTGCTTTAACACACAAGGATAACCAAACAAAATGCTGGAAATCATGACCAAGCGTTACTCTTCAATTTTTCATAACCGGGGTTGTGTAATTTACTCAATTCTGAGTTTACGAGAGTGTTAAACTTCGTAGCCTTGTCAGTTTGAACCCAACCCAGAAGATAGGGAACTCCTGGATCAAGAATTGGGGCAATAGCTTTCCTTTTGATGGAACTACCCCGCATGCATTTCAGAGAAAAACCTCACGGCTAACCTGACGGCAAGGGGACTAACCCATAATCCTGGGATATTTTACGTCCGTTCCGTGGTAAGTATGAGCCGGGAGAAGAATTCGTATCTACCAGCCACCGCAAATTTTTATTTGCATAGTGTTTAGAAAAAGATTTGTGCGAAAACAGTTTTGTCCTGATGAATAAACTACTTAAACATACAAACGCCAAAGCTTTACAAAAACTTCTTGCCTAGCTTAGATCTTCAAGTTATTTAAACCCCTTATTATAAGTAAGAATTTAGAAACATTTGATGTATTGAGATTGTAAGACTACGCTGAATTTTAAAAGTTAAATTTCTTGTTAAGTACTTTTGAGATTAACATGTTTAAAGATACTCTGGTATTTTGGAAGTACATACAGAAAAATTTCTATTCCATTAGTACAGAGACACTGAAAAAAAAAGACTTGTAACTTCAAAACTAGTTCTGCTAGTGAGAAAAATGAGATGTATCATATATATCAAATATATCAAATATATCTTAAATAAAAAAACCAAGATTAACTGAAATTTGATAGTTTAACCTACATAATTACTTTGAACTAAAAAAAATTGTTTACCCTAAAACAAAGTGAGCAATAAAAGGGAAAACTAAAAATTTAACAATTGTTTTAATTATTTACCAAAGCATTTATTGAATGAAATTTATTCCAACAAATCACTTTCGAAAAGCACAAAGACACATTTGTTGTAAAGTCAAACACGCTAGATTTTCATTGGGTCGATGTGTGTCGCAGTTTTAAAAATTAAGAAATAAATTTGTGTACGTTTGAGTGATATTTATGTTAAAAATTAAAACGAGTGGTGCATCTTTTAGAGCGCAATAGCTAAGTTATGTATTTAGGATTAAAACACTTCAAAAGATAGCTATCTCCAGTGAAAAGCATCTAAGTTTAAACCAATTTTCACAGGATAAAATTTAATTCATAGATTTTACAAATTTTAAAGTAAAAGGACTCATACTTCTGATAGTTTAAGGTCATAACTATTATTAAAATAGAGAATTTATGTCTGAACAAAGCGCTTGGATGGATAGTCTAGTTTTATTTATATTTCTGGGAATCTTACAATTGTTTTCAATAATTATCCTTTAAAGTTTAAAAAGCCATAACCTTAACTGAATCGGAAAATAAGATTCCTTAAAAGCCTATCCGGAAAATTTTTTACTGATGCTGAAATTTTCTTTATTGCATAAGTTATACAAAAAAGTAAAATTACGCAACTAACGGGATAAATTTTTAATAATATTTTCACTTTCTAAAAATGCAAATTGAGATTTGTATAATTTTGTCAGCTAAATTTATTAAAGTTGTTTAATAACGCCAGAAATTCTCATTTTAATTAAGGGAAAGCGTTGACATTGAAAGTTTCTAAACATACTATTATATTGAATAAGCATCAGTTCATTCCAGAATATTTAAAAAATTAGAATTTCCCCTCACACCTCTTTTTTTTTGATGGTTGAAATAGGTTTCGTGGAGGTACCGCAATATCTATTTATATTTTGATTTGACAAAAAGAGTTATTTCAGAAACTGAAGAGAACATAAGATTTTTGAAAATAAAGATATCAGGAATGCACTAAATATTTTGAACTTAACTAATAGGGTGGCAAGTACTTTACGTCACACTAGAGTTGCGGAATGAGCTATTGGCGACGGTCTATGAAATATCCCCGAGGATGATCCGAAGGCATGCAATCGGAATTTTGATCCTCTGGAGAGGGGATGGCTCCTTTGCTAGCCAGACGACCTGAGCACGAAATCTAGCACATTATGATATAACAGTTTAACGAGGACCGATACCGATGATCCTCATTCCCTATACAGGCTGATCCAAGTGGTCATCCACCCGCTTAATGACCACAGTCAGTGATGCTCAACTTCGGTGCTCTACTGGGAACAGCAAATGCGGGAAGTTTCCTCAAAAAGTCCTCCACGAAGGCAAATTTCTCGCAATACTTGATCCAAGAGTTGCGTGTCTTCTGGATTGGGATCAAAATTTCAAGGTTATGGAGTTTAACATTAGTAGTAAACAAAGAAAATGGGTCTGCTGTTCAACGATGGTTATAAAATTAAATTTTGCCGTCTTAAGTTTATGCTTGGCTTTCATACTAGTCCACAAGACAATCATGCCGGATAGTGAAATAGTTCTTCCTACAAAAAATGGCTTCAAGAAAATTTGCTGCTACACTTACTATTTGTAAAATATTTTTAATTCTATAAATTTTCGAAACCTTTAACATTGTAAGTTTTGGTCAATATTAACAAAATCAGCATCGTTCTTTGCTGTTACGACTAAGGGAAGACAAGATTGGAAACAGTGAAGATTTGGTGGCAGCGAGTAGACATACGACAGCATAGGGTTAAAAGTTCTGGATAAAACTTGATCCAAAAGAGAAATCAAAACATTAAAAAGAAATTTGAATAAGAAATAGAAACGAGATAAATTTTACATTAAAAATCCCCTGATTTATCATTGGATTCATTTGAGGATTTGAAACTAATGTTCAGCTAAGGCTAAGCTTTTGCCTTCCAGCTTTTATTTTAACTTATTTAACATGTAACAAATTCTGATAAACTTATTATAAAAAGTTACATTTGTTTTAACATTCGGGGGATCTTTTAGGATAGTTCTGATTAAATATTTCTATATACCCTAGGAATGTCTGACAATATCATTTTTCAGTCTAAAGAAAGTTGCCTTCTTATGCAATGTTGAATAATTCCAAACTTTAATTTCATTCCTAAAAGTAATCTTTTCGAATAATAAATTCTAAATTTGAAGCAAATCACAGCACGTTAATCTAGAGGCTTAAAATAATGTCTTAAGGAACTAAGTTGTTTTTGAATATAAGAGTTCTTTATAATTTAGTCTGAAAATTTAATTACAAAAATTAATACAATTTACTTTCTCGCGTTTTAGAATCTTGTTAAACTCTTATTGCGTGTTCGAGGTTGTTATCCAATAACCTAAACATAAGGCGAATAATTAAGTTATAAGACCGGTTTTAAGGAAAATGCAATAATTTTGAGTACTACTGCAACATTACGCTGATTCAAACTTTTGTTGGGAATAAACTGGCAAAATGAAGAGAAATAATTGAGAGAAACCTTAATGCTGTTAGCAGAAATGAAGTATCAATTTTGTTTAAATTATTGCGTGCAAAAATTTCAGAGTCCAAGGAAATTAAATAGAACAGCAAAATTATAGTTAAGGCTTGAAAAGTTTGTGGCATCCAGATTTAATTTAGAGCAATTCTGTTTGATATAAGTTTAAAGTATAGATTGTTTACAGTTTTAAGTTGTTTATTTCAGTGCTAAATATTTCCAAAGTGGAGGATAAGAGCATTGAGTATAACATTTAATTAAATCTTATAATACAGTCAAAAGTGTAACAGATTTGATTAAATTAGTAATGCACAAAACCAGATTTATTCTGCTACAAATGTGAACTACTTTACACACTCCAGGTAAGCTAATCAAAAGGCGATAGACTCCAGCAAAGTTTTCGCTCGAGCAAGGATTACTAAGGTTCTCGGAGGATTTTACTAGAGTATACTAAAGTTAAGCAGTTACACCACTCCAAAGCAAAATGCATTCAAGATAAATTTTCAGCTTTGTTATCTTAACAATTTGAAATGTGGGAAAAGATTTTAAAAGCAGTGGTATGAAGGGGTTACGACCCCCAGGCATCTAAACAAAAGAGGCCATGGCTAAGGACACTAAATATTATTTTAAATAGGCAAATACTCAGTTCAAGTATAAATAAAATATGATTTAGCAAGTTTCATATAATTAAAGTTTAAACATTCCTTGCATTTATGAAAAGTTAAGGATGTTTTGTTGAATATAAATTCTTTTCATTAGCAGTATTCAAACTTTCTGTACACGAAAAACAATTTAGTTAGGCTACTTGGGATAAGATTTTAAACAGTAGTGATTACAGTCTTCTAAAAGGAGTTTAATGGAAGAGTTTGGCTAGAGCATTCAAAGAACTGTTTCACAATCTAAAACTATACTGTGGTTGTGGGGAGAGTAGTTAACGACAATATCAACCTTCATCTATGAAAATGTACCCCAATATTGAATAGCATGTTTTATATACTAGTCAATTGATAATAATTGTAGTTACTCCAGTGGTGTAATTATTGCAGGATGATCACTTAAAGCTAAATTAAGATTTTGAGCTGCTTAACCCTGATTATGCCTAGTTAACTCTCGTACTATTGCAAATATTTATCATCCCGAGAAAACTAGAGCTTAGCAGATTGTTTTATCACGTTTTCACTCGGTCTGATGCAAAAATCAGCTACGATTGGAAGTTTTATTTGGGAGTTATGATGTTGGACTGTGGAACTACACTTTTGTGCGATGGTTGCGGAATCTGCATAGAAATAAGAGAAAAATTGCTTATTCCTTGACTGACATTCGAAAAGTATTACTTTGTGTTGTCCCTTGTTTTAAGAACTATCCTACAAGGACTAATATTTACATTTGCCTGAAATAACTCGGGATCATAAGCGGATTTTAAATTAAAGGTTTCTTGCACAAAAAACTTAAAACTTTTGCATTATGTTCCTTTTATTTATTAATAAATGATGATTTTTGCATTTTTTTCCTCAAAATAATTGATAAGGGAGGTGGTTAAACACAGCTTCGTTGGTATTCCGAAGTTTAACAACTCTTCCATGACAGAAAACCCGCAGATTTCATAGAATATTTAGAAAAAAGTCACGTTGTCATCTTGTATACTGATAATTTAGGATTCTTTATTAAAAGCTAACAAACACTGAGTTTAATTCTTTCCTCGTGATTTCAATTTTATAACTTTCCTTGGCTTTCACATCCGGTTAGGTTAGTATTTAATCTTCTGTTATTACCATGTATAAATTGAATAAAGAGGAAATTTTAGCTTGATGAGGAAAGTTCAAAAGACTGCAAAATACTGGTCAACAGCAAACACAATGACCCAGGCCAAAATTTTTAAAACCAGATTTTCAAAAAAGTGTGAGCACATTATGAACGATTAAGTGAAACGATGTAGAACATAATCTAAAATTCATTTATCAGTTCACTAAGTTAGATGGATGAATGCAAAATGAAATAGTGAAACAGCAGTAAGTGGTTGTACTACACCAAACAAGCTGCAGTAAGAATTAAATATATTGAAATTGAATGGTTTGATGCATTATAAAAAATCAAAAGATTTGAGGGCATAACTTAAGTGCTTCTGGTTTGAGAATCCAGATAGATAAACTTTAGTCTTTAGCAAATTTTACAGAGTTCAGCTGTTGCTTAAATAAAAAGCACAGTACGAAACAAGTAGACTTCAAATATTTCAAGATATAAATTTGAACTTCATGCAGTTAACAGAGGGAACATTAAGTCTTACTGGATGAGCCAAATTAAAAATTAGGGCAACTGCAGAGTATATTTCATTGCAGAACTTTTAAATTCTTGCAAGAAACTCAAGCTATAATCCAGTAAATAAAATCCGAACATTCTTTGCATCAAGATATTCTGATATCCTAAAGTCTTTACAATAATTGGTTTTCACGAATGCTTTAAGTAAAATTTAATCGATTAAGAAGGATTATTAGAATTTATACAAAGGAAATTTATCAATTCCTGACAATTATCACAAGTTTCAGGTTTAATTGAAAAAAAAGAAAAATCAGGCTGAAATAGACAAATTTATTGAAATTTAGAACTTGAACTTTAGTCTATAGAGAATTCATAACATTAATAAAAAAGAGGTTCGGAAAAAGACAGCACTGATTGAAATAAAATTTTTTAGCATAGAAGAAAAATTACGTAATAACTTTGGTTTGAGTCTTTAAAGATGCGAGTTAAAGGGCTAGATGCGAACTCTATAGTAGTGGAAGAAACAATAAATTGGTATAAAGGACAAAAATTTAAGCAATGATTTTTTTCACATACAAGATTATTAATTACTGCAAGTTCTTATAAATAGCCTAGTCTTAATTTCTACAATCAGGATTTAAATTATTCAGTTCAACTAGAAAGTTCAGTAAAAAAGTTATCTAAGTGAACATCCTGGTGCAAAATTATTGCTGGTTACGAGTAAGATAACTTTAAAAGAAAAACCCTAAAACACTATATTTAAAAAGAAATATTTAATTAGTATCGTTAAATGCAAAAAAAAATAAGGGTTTAAAAAAGCAAACAAAATAGTCTAAAAAGAGGCCCAAGATTAGGTTTAAAGTAAATTAAACATCCAATTTATTTTCACAAATAATACAAGTGCATTCGAAAGTGAAGAAATCCCTCTAAAAATTGTTAAAACAAAACAGTTTTATATAATAAAATATACTAATTTGTCCTCAAATAGTAAAAATTTTAAGATACTGTACTAAAATAATGCTCTCATTTGCACTATTAAACTTTAAAATGTAAAGCTGAATATAAATTGGTACAAACTAATTTAAAAACAAACCGGTTAAACAATATAATAAATACCTTAAAGAGCCAAAAATTATAAAAAAACACATGTCTTACCGCAAAGAAGAAGCAAAAATTAAGAATAGTCAGTCAGTCCATAACGAAACTTACTTACCTACTAACAGAGAAGGCTTCTTTGAACAATAACTGAGAAACAACTGACAGAATTTTGCGCTCTGCCGGTTTTGTATATAGTCAGATGTAAAATGTCGTTCAAGTTATGGTTGCGGTCATCCTTCGGGTAACATCCGCATGTCAAACAACACATCTTGACAAAATTTTTCGGACTTTTCTACAAGTGCATGACTCATCATGAGAAGCAATGAAATATTTCTCAATAAAAGAAATAAAAATAATCGAACACTTATTTTATTTCGTTTCTTAAAAAAAGGTGCGAATGAAATCCATGGAATAGGTTTCCTACATTTAAGTAATTATTTCGCGTTGTTTTAAAAATAGTATTTAAATGGAGCAGAAAATTTGAGCTTATTTATTATTAGAATTTGATTACTGAACTTCGGAAATAATTATTTTTCTTTGTGTTGAATGGTGTTTTATTTGTTAGAAATAACTGAAAACACACCATCATTCATTTATGTTTAAAATTTAAGTTTCATTTTGTGTTTTATTTCACTTTTTTATTTCCCCTTTTATTTTTTTAGAGCCTCTTGGACTTTTCCAATGGAATCTTCTCCAATGCCTAAACTATGAACAAATTCTAAAACAATTTTATGTGTCTAAAGCAATATAATGCAGAAAATTTCGTAAAACGCAATACTGTCCTAGAGATTAATGTTGGCCTCGGTAGCTAGGATCTAGGCTGCGCAATAAATAAGGTCGTGACTGAAGAATTAGATATTATTCGTTCACATACGCATGCAGGCTTATTAACAATTTATAAGCACTTGTGTAATTGTTGTTTATTCTTTTTGAAAGTACATACATTTGCAGGCTTGTATGCTCAACTTAGGACCTTTGTCAAATAGAAGGACAGATAGCATAATAAGAAGGACAGGGTGATAGCGAGATTCCTAGCACTTGTCGAATTGAAAAGTAGATAGAACAGATTAGAGAAGGGCAGAGATATACATGACTGAACGCTTACGTCGTTCCAAGAAACGCGCTTCAGAGTAGAGGTAACTGGTTCGAATCTCGCTATAACTGTATATGTAATTCTGTAATGTTCTTCTCCAACCTGAGCTATCCTGAACTCAATAAGTCCCGCAGTGAACTGATCGTTATGACACGGTTCCCAGCAGATCACCGAAGTCAAGCATCACTGGATGCGGTCAAAGTGCGGGTGGGTGACCACTTGGATCAGTCTGCGTAGGAACCGAGGGTGTGCGGTATTGGTCCTCGTTAAACTGTTCTACCGTAAAGTGCTGGAGTTCGAGTGCAGGTCGTCGAGCTACCGAAGTGGGGGCGCCATTCTCTCTGCAGAGGATCAAAATTGTGAAGGCATGTCTTCGAATCATCCTCAGGGATGTTTCCCAGACCGTCGCCAATGACCCACTATGCAGCGACATAAAGGAACTACTACAACAACAACAACTCAATAAAGGCTTATAAACCTTATTTTATAATGATCACACAACCTGCTTAAGATCCCACCAGTGATGATCGTTTGGTTCCAGTAAAACACCGAAGTCAAGCATCCTACTACTGTCAGTAAGCGGGTGGGTGATCACTTTGATCAGCCTGAGCAGGGACCAAGGGTGTGCGGTATCGGTCCTCGTTAAACCATTCTACCACAAAGAGCTCAACATCGCGTGCAAGCCGTCGCGCTACCAAAGTAGGGGAGTCATCCCCTTTGCAGAGGGTCAAAATCATGAAGGCATGTTTTCACCCTCAGGGATTTTTCCCAAAGCGTCGCCAATAGTCCGTTGTGAAGCTCTAGTGCGACTTAAATAAAGTACCTACTTATAGTTTGTCTAAAGTAAGAACTCCCCTATCCATTCAGCAGCGACTATGGTATCGAGATATAACTATTTCAAGTAGGGGTCATTGTTTAGGACAGGTTTCGGGTCGGGTAGGCGAAAGAATTTTGTTTTCTTCGGCCAACTGTGTTAACCCTAGAGTGAAAAGGAGCTACCTTCCCTGAAATGCTTGTTTCCATGGCAGCCTCAGACTTCGTGGTGGGGGGAGTTCTTACAGTAGACAAACTGTACCTACCAGCTTATTTAAGTGTGACAATAAAAATAAATAAAAGGAACATAAAAAAGATACATTCAGGGTTCCGAGGGAACCTTCTACCTCCTTGCTTCAGAATGTTTAACTAAGTGGTTGGTTGAAAAGTGAAATTCTTTAATAAGAGACTAACAATCCAAAATGAGATACGAAAGGTTGTTAGTACGTGATTTCAGAACTCTGCAAAAAATCTGAAGATGCTAATATCCTAAACGCACTTAATTGTAGAAATATCGAAGCATTTCATTAAAAAAAAGTTTCAGCGTATTTGTACAAGAAATTATGTATAAGAAATTACCGTAAGTGTAGAAAAGCACAAAGGGGCTTAAGTATCCTGGGACCACTAATACGCGATCATCCCTGTCACATTTAGAGAAAAAAACTCATACGAAAAACTTTTAAATTGGCTTTTCAAATATATTATTTAATTTTAAATAATATATTTGAAATTTAAATAATATATTCGAAATTCAAATAATGTATTTATAAATAAGTAATAAAAATAAATGTGTTAATAAATTCATAAATAAATAAACTAATGCTATATATTATCTTTCAAGTGGTTATGTTTCTATCTCAACTGAAATATTAATATGTTTTCGAATTAGAATAAAATTATGTCTTAATTAGAATAAGAGTATGTCGAAATTAGAATAAGATTAAGTCCTATCTTTCATTCTAATTGAAATAGAAAAAGCTCAATATTATCTCAATTAGAATAAGAGGCATGACTTGCTTTCCTTTTCTTTCCCTGTTTCAATTTAAATATTCACTTTTAAAATTTCACTTTTTTTGTTGAAACTTTGAGTGATTCTTTTTTGCATGGTCAGTTTTCATGTTTTTTTTCAACTTTAAAATATCTAATAATCATTTTAAATTATCTGTAATTCGTGATACATATATTTTAAAGGTTTATTCCTTTTTGAAATTTGTAATACATATCGCTCATGGGCTGCAATAGCGGCGCAGCTCAAAAAATCAAGTTTTGAGGTAAGTGGGTTTAAAGTTTTCATTGGTAAGGAAAATGCATAAGAAATGCTTTAGTTTGATTAAACGAAGATTACCTTCAAGTTGAATTATGAGTTGTGCTGCTGAAAGAATGTGTATTTTCATATTTACACCTGTTCTTAGTCCAAAACTCGTGTTTTTTAAGTTGTGCCACTTTTGCAGCCCGTGAGAGATATATTTTAGTTCTTTACCTTTAGTTTGTCTTTTAGTAGTTCATATAACTGTTTTATAATTTATTTTATAACATTTTTTAAAGAAAAATTATGAAAAAAATATAAAATTTTAATTTTAAAAACTTTTAAAGAATATTTTAAAGCACAAAAACAAAAATTGCTGAAGAAAAAAAAGAAAAAATACGGATATTTTCATTCAAAATATGCTCAAAAGTTTCAGCACTTAAGCAAAATACTTTTATTTATATTAAAATATCAAAAATTAAAAACTACATCTTTTAAAAATTTTTAAATCTGTATTTTAAAAAATGATTCATAGAAGCCTTTTCTTTTTACAGATTTTCTGTATATCATAACAATATAAAAAATTTAAAACAATGCGAACGTTTTAAAAAAAAAGATTAAAAATGTGCATTTATGAATATTTAATAAACTAAGACACAGCATCTATTGAATTAATGTATTACTGTAACGTATACTATATCCATGCTGCCAGTATAGCCTGGTTGACAGGGAGCTGGACTCTCGTTCGTGAGAACGGGAGATCGTGTCCAGCCGGCCGAAATGGTGACACGCTAGATCTGTCGGGTCACAAAGTCCTCTATGTTCCTATCGCAAATTATACCTCTGGGGGTATTGAATTGGAGATCCATAGTTCTCTGGTCCATGTCAAAATGACGATCTGTGGATGAATAAATGAATGTGTTCGCCCTATAAACAGAAGTCACGCATTGGCCATGCGTGGAGGAAAATAAGAACAATCTCACTTTAATAGCTTACGACAATAACAACAACACTATATCCATGCAGATGCTGTACTTTATTGTTATATTCTATCCAGGTGACTGTTAAATAAGTTAAAACGAGTAAGAGGTTTTCGAAAATTTTAAATGCTCTTTTTTCAAACACAGTGTTTTTTATGCTTACCAGTTCGATTATTTCACTTTATTCCCAATTTGATGAGCGTGCATATTATCAATGTATTTTCATTACACGCTTGATTTTTTAAACAATGCTTCAATAGGTTTTGATCGATCAAATAATAAACATAAGTTATTAAGTTTTTTCAGGTTATTTAAAATGAAAATTTTACCTTTGACGAAAAATCGCTGAATTAATAGCACTGAGGAACAAATTTTTTGTTGCATTTTGTCGGGTGTGGGGATATTAAATCTATAATTGGTTTTTCTCCTAATGCTACATTTTTTGTAGTAGGAAATGTCCTCGTACGCGGTTGCTTATCTAGTATGACTTGTTCAGAAGCACAGGAGAAAAGAGTTCATAATAAGAAAGCGCCTCTAGCTGCGTATGACGACACTTCTGGGCATGAGTTTCTATGCAATTTTAATTCTGATGCCGTGCTCGAACTCCCCTAAAAGATTGTCGCAGCATTCATGCGAACCCTATTCAATATATAATGCTTTTATACTTTTTATTTTATAACCGTCGTTGAACAGCTGACCGAGTTTTCAATTTACGACTACTAACAATCAACTCCGTATCCTTGTAATTTTGAATCTAATCCAGAAGAACTCCTGTATCAAGCATGGAAAGAAATTTGCCTTCGTGGTGGACTTTTTAATGGAACTAGCCCGCATTTGCGTTATATGGAGAGGTAAGCCCCCCAAGAAACCTCCCACGGTTAGCCTGACGGACTCTAACCCATGATCCGTCTACCACTTAGGATATCAGCACTGTGGTCGTTATAAGCATACGAAATTCATATCCACCAGCCATCTCCGAACCCGGTTCACCTCATTGGAAGTCGAAGCGCCCCCTCACCTATCACGCACATTTATACTTGTATATTTCGACAAAAAATGGACTAAAAATGACATTTGTATGCATATCTAAAACATTGTTCTTAGAAGCTTAAAATGAGGAAATTTGACTTCCAAAATGAT